CCCCACCCCAGCCTTGCGGCCCTGTCCCCTAGGAAGACAGTGGACGTGCGTATAAAATGTGTTTAAAAACCCATCAGCTGAGCCTGGGTTTTCAAAATTTTGTCTAAAAAAGAGACAGGTGAGGCTCCTCAGAGCCCGAACGGAATGCTCTCCGTCGTTGAAAAATGCATAGTTGAGATACAAAACCCTAACGTCGGCTACAATGGGAGGATTTCCAAAACCACAGGTTCTATTTCCCCGCCTGACTAAGAGACATCGGGTGGGGGGGATGGAAGCACAGTGACGGCGGACTCCGGGGAGCGCAGCCAATATTCTTAGTGGGGTAAATGCTCCCCCAGCCAAAGCTGCTCGTGAGAGATTCCGCGCTGGAAGCTCTGCTCAAGCCATCTGCCATGGGCGGTGGGGGGAGGGCTGTGCTCGCTGGCCTGGCCACGTGTCTGCCAACCGAGCGCCGGCAACCCACCCTTGGCCCCCATCCCCAAGTGGTGGAGGCGTGAGTGGCCGTTCCGGAGCCCAGGACTGTGCCTGGCCTGCCAGGAGCTCGTGCAGGGCGCTACTGGGAAGCGGGAATGTGCCCTGCGGATCACAAGCCCTTGATCCTGACCCTCCCGGCCTTGCAGCTGAGCTGAGCGGGGCAGGGGAGTGACAGCACTCCCTCTTTGGTGCCTGCTGACTGCTGCTCCCAGGCTCCGTTAAAGAGGGAGTGGGCCTTGTGCCACCTGCCTTAGCAGCAGCAGCAGCAGCAGCCGCCACAGGAGCCCCCTCCCGTGATGGACAGAGCATCGCCCGCCAGATGCTCAAATCATCTTCATGTTGAACTTCCTGGCTCCGCCCTGCCCCGAGGCTGTGGTTGGACCATCGACCTTGCGGAAGGAGTATTCCCCAGAAAAGTTGTTCTTGTGCTGCCCACGGCCCCGACTCCAAACAAAGAGGAGGAGGAAGCAGAAGAGGACCACGCCCAGGAAGGTGATGCATCCCATGGCCGTGGACACCAAGATGGTCTTGAGGTCCAAAGTGAACTTTATGAAGACCTGGGTGTCGTTGTGGGAAGTGTCGTTGAAGTCCCTGAGAACCCAGGTCCGGTTTGCGTCCAGGATGCTGTCAGCCGGGGGCCCTTTGACGGTCAGGGTGGCAAAGTAGGTGTCGTTGCCGGCAGCGTTGCTGGCGATGCAAATGTAGGTCCCACTGTCCTGGGCCTGGGCATAGCGGATCTCCAGCGTTCCGCCGGGCAGGACGGTGGCTCGGCCCAAACTTTTGGAGGTGATCATCCTATGTTGGGGAGACACCCAGCTGATAGAGGGCACAGGTTCCCCCTCTGCCCGGCACTGGAAGGACACTGCCTGCCCCTTGTAAGCTGTTACACGCTGGAGGCTGCGGTTCCTGATTTTGGGCTTTTGGCAGGTGAAATACTCAAACAGCACAGAGTCCGGAAAGTCGTGCAGGGCATTGCCCTGAATCTCAAGTGGCGAGGAGCACATGGGTGGCCGCCCATCGAAGTTCAGCGTCTTCCGGCGCTGGAGGATCCAGAGTAGGCGGCAGTCGCAGACTAAGGGGTTCTGGTCCACCCTGAGTGTTTCCAGGGTGTTGACAGAGTGAAAGGCGCTCTCTTCCAAGGTGGACAAGAAATTGCTGGAGAGGTTCAGAAGACGGATTTGCCTCAGCCCGTAGAGCGCTTGGGGCTCCACCGAGGCCAGCAGGGCACCCACCATGTGCAGCTCCCGGAGCCTGGTGAGCTCCTGGAAGGCGCCCTTTGGCACTGTGCTGATCGGGTTGTGAGACAGGTTTAGGTGCACGAGATGCACCAGGTTCCTCAGGGCTGTCATTGGCACTGCTGTGATGTTGGTGAATGTGATAAAAAGGGAGGTGAGGTTAAGTCCCTGGAAGGCATTGGGCGAAATGTCCTCCAGTGACAGCCAGTTGTCAATCTCCAGAAGCCATAGATTATAAAGCTTCCTGAAGTTCTGATCTTCCACCAGGGTGATGCCGAGGTGCTTGAGCCGGAGGGTCTCCAGGTTTTGCAAGCGGGAGAGGGAATCTGCAGAGAGGTCAGTAAGATTGCATTTCTCAATGGTCAGCTCCTGGAGGCTGACCAAGCCAGAGAAGGCCTTTCGGGAAATATAAACCAGGTCGTTGTCCCCTACTTCTAGGTGCTTCAGGTTTCTCAGGTCTTGAAACATGTAGTCCAGAAGGATGACAATTTTGTTCTCACTGATATCCAGAAGGGTAAGATTGGTCAGTTTTTGGAAGATGCCCGGTGGGATCAGCTTGAGCTGGTTGCGTCGTAGCCGCAAGACCTGTAGGCTGAATAGGTTGCTGAAGGCCCCCGGCTCCATGTTTGTGATGATATTCTCACTGAAGTCCAGCTCTTCCAGCATGGGGAACGAGGACAGCTCCCCCGAGTTCAAGCAGCGGATGCGGTTCTTGTTGAGCTCCAGGATCTTGGTCTCTGTTGGTATTCCCTCTGGCACAGAAGTGAGGCGTTTTCGATGGCAGGCGACGGACTTGAGGTGAGGGATGCACTCGCAGCGAGCTGGGCAGGCTGAAATGGGGGTGATGCTCAGGAGGGAGCAGCAGGCGGCCAGGAGGAGAAAGCCACGTTGCATGGTGTGGGGCATGGTCCTACAGGCACATTACCATCTTCCCACACACCTGGGAGCAGGGGGGAGAGAGAGAAACAGAAGGTTACTCAAACCCTGGCAGGATTTGTGGCTGTGCCTTCAGGTCTCACCCCTGAGCCTTGAGGTTGCTTGGAAGGGCTGAGCATCCCCAAGCAGGCCCCCTTGCCTGGCCAAAGAGCTGAGCCCGCGCCACCCTCCAAAGGGTCTAGGCAGAACTGAAGCTTCAAGGGGGGGGGTGCGCGCGCGCGCACCCTTGTGCACCTTCCACCTTCTTGCTACCCCCACCCCTGAAGCACTGTCCCTGTACACAGAACCAAGAGGGTTTTCTTGTCTGCAGATCACAAACATCCTAGGCAGTTTTTTTCAGAATCCATCCTTTGTAGATTAATCCATAAATAGGTACAGTTACAAAATACAGGTAGTCCTCAGCTTAAGAACGAGTTCCATTCCAAAGATCTGTCCTTAAGTCGAATTAGTATTTAAGCTGGAACAGTATTATTGTATAATACTGCATAACTAATATTGTGTAATTAACTCAAACCATTGTGTGTTTAACTTGCATTTTGCTACACGAGGTTCCGTTCTTAGCTGTGGGTCGTCTTTAAACTGGGTGTTCTTAACCCGGCGACTACCTGTAATGCAAAAGTGGCAGAAATAGACACAATTTAACATTCTTTGTGAAGACAGAAGCTGGTTTTGAATTATTTCATGCCCCTTGTCCTCTTTTTCCCCTCTGCTTTTACTACCACAGAATGGCTATTTTTTGCCATTGTGGAGGTGGAGGGTGCTGTTGGACTTGGGTACCTTGTGCCTGGATGGGAGACAAGCACAGAAGCCCAGGGCCTCCAACTTGCTCAGAACCCCCCCAGGCAAGGGGGTGGGGAGCCCCATATATCCCAGGGGGCACCGTCACCTAACTGAACCTGGGAAACCCCTTGGCTCCTGCCAGCCCACCCAGGAGGGTTGTCCGGAAGGTGAGGAGATCTGCAAAGGTGTTCTCCCCTCACTCTTTGGCCCCAAGGTTTTCACCACTGATTCCCAGCCAGGACCACCCTTAGAGCTTCCTGGGGTGGCCCATGGGAGGGAGGGAGGCCACCTGCCTGCCTGCCTCGAGTTTTCATTCCAGCTTCCAGGTGGGCATGGCCCCGAGGAAGGTGTGCACGGGGGACAGTAAAAGAGCTCTGAAACTTCATTTCAGCTTCTTGTGCAAATATAGCCCCATCGATCGGAGGGCACACTTCCTGTGCCCCCAGAAGGAATCATTCTGGCACGCCAAAGGGACTGGAGATCATCAAGAGCTCCTTCAGGTAACATTTTTCCTTTGTTCCTTGGCGAAAGCCCAGTGCCGCCTCCGCTCCGTCGCTGGCTGCTCGGCTCCCCCCAGGTGGATGGAGCCCGCTGCTTTCCTGCCCCACAGCTGAGTCCGAAGCAGCCTCTGAGGTAGGCAGTCGCTCAGGCGCGCAGCAGGGCCGATCAAGAGGGCTTTGTATCGAAACCGTGTGTGTTTGGGCCTCTTACAGGTATTTATAATCGGGCTGGGGACCCAGAAGGATAGATGGGGGGGGACGTGTGCCACCGGCTTGGAGGAAGCGGGTGTGGAGCTGGGGGCTTCTCAGCCCCCGGGGGCGCCTCCTGCTGCCTTTGGCCTGGCCTCAGACCAGGACCAAAGCCAGGGGCGGGGAGGAAGGGGAGCCGGCCTGCCTAAATCCAACTGGAGGCAAGAGAAAAGAACAGGAAATGAGAAAGCTGCTTTCCCCTCCAGTCGAGGCTTCAGAGCGCTTGCTTCCCAAGCTTTGAAACAGCCACCGGACTCTCCGCATGCTTGTGGGTCAGTGCAGTTCTTTTCATAGGGAGCCACACAGTGGCTCTGCTAAGGTGGCCTGCTGTTTCCAGTTCTTGCCCAGGCAGATGCTTTCCTCCAAAATTTGTGGGTTGTACTACCCAAGACCTTAACAATGTTTTTCCTTGATTCTGAGTTTACATTGCATAATGTTTGCATATTTATTAATGAATTTATTATGCATTATGTTTTTGCTTTGATGATTAGTTGGTCTTAATTGTAACTGCTACTGTCTCCCCACTAGGTCGACTAGACCAGGAAATCAACTCCACAGGAAGGCTAAAACTACTTTTATTGAAGCTAAAACTACTACTGCGTTACTGAGAACAACAGAATCTTGCAAGCCTGATCCTCCTCCTCCTCCTCCTCCTCCTCCTCCTCATAGTTTATCTGTCTGAGTCGCTTCCGAATGTTATCTCAATGCTCTGGACTTAAAAAAATGCTTCAGTCCCTTTTGCCTAGGCAACGGTTCCCGCATTTCTTCATCAAGGTCATCTTCCTGACTCTCTACAGCTATCACCATCAAACAACATCTACCTATCCCAGGTCCTTGGGTAGGACTCGATAGGTGGACACAGCTATGTAGAGTGGTTTAAAAATATAGTGAAGAGAGAAGGAAAGCCCCCCATGGAAAGACTCTGTTCCAGTTCCCTGCTTCCTGTTCTTGAGCTGGCCTGGAAGCCCTCAGGCCCTCTCCTGTGCATAGCTGGCAAGGAGGGAACTTGTTACAAGCCTTGGAAAGCAGCTGTCGACTGCCACAGTGCTCTGCTTGGGCCCATGCTTGCTGCTGACCTAGTTGAGGCAGCTTCAGGGGAACTATAAGGCAGCAAGCTCCCCCGGGACTGAGTGAGCAAACGGGGACAGCAAATAAGAGCTGGGGGGGGGGGTCAAGGGGAGGAATGGGTTTGTTCTTTTCTCTTGTTCATCAGCAGAATATGGTGACGGCGGAAGTGTTCTCGCAAACTGCAAGGGATGTGCAGTTACATGACAGGGCTTGGTTACTAGCAGGACCGTGTGTCTCCCACAGTATCCGCCTGGTTCCTTCGATTAAACGATGCCATCTGTCAGGACCTCAGAAGTGCGCCTTCTCTGTAGCGGTGCCTGCCCTCTGGAACGAGGCTCCCTCTGAGATACGGGTGGCCCCCGCTCTGCTGCTGTTCCGAACAGCAGCGAAGACCTGGCTCTGGAGAGGGAGAGGGAGACCCCCTGCTTCATCACACTTGCCATCTTTTATCTTTTATTGGTTTTATTGTAATTTCTTTCTTTGTTGTGAGCTGCCCAGGGTCATATGGAGTCAGGTGGCATACAAGTTTAATCGATGATGATGATGATGGTCGCACAGTCACCCAAATGTTTAGACTGGATTTGGGATTTTTATCCACCTATCGAGTCCTACCCAAGGACCTGGGATAGGTAGATGTTGTTTGATGGTGTTAAATGTATCATCGTCATCATCATCATCATCATTCCTGGAGGCAAAACGAATTACATGTGCTGTCAGTGCAGGCTGGTTGCCCTCTGGAAAGAGAACAGACGGGAATTCTTGAATGGATTTAGGAAGTGCTTGTAGAGAGCCAGCAACACCGTGAGGCCTCCCAGAAGGGATGGGGAGACAGAAGGATACGGTGCAAAGGCCCAACTCTGTCCAGAAGAACTCTTATGCTTCAGGGTACAAAATAGGCCCAGAGCCCCCCTGCACCCCCCCTTGATGTTTCTGGGTTCCTGGATGAAGAGCAGCTGCCACAAACCTGAAAGATGGACAGAGTGGACTCTGCAAAGGGGGGGGGATTCCTGCCTCTGCCCTGGAGAGGAGGAAGGACAAGACGGTGGGGCCTGGAGACCCCCCAAGGGACTGCTGAAACCATCAGCTGGACAGCCTATCAAGAGACGTTGGCTCCCTTCCTGGGGCTCACAGGTGGGATGTGACGGAAAGACTCCCCAGACTCTTTATGACCACTGGCAACTATTCCTTTCTACTGAGCCATGTGGGAATGAATGATGCAGCCCTGAGGACCATGCCAAGGACTGTGGTGATACCTCTGAGTGACTTAAAGTCTACAGGAGCAAATTAATCACAACCTCATGCACTGAATAAATGACCTGCAAAACCCTTTACAGGTTGTCTGAGAAACCCTGGCAAAACGATGAAGTCCTGGATGAAGGGAGGAGGCCCATGGTTGTCCCTTTTTTCAAAAAAAGTGGGGATCCTGCAAACTACAGGCAAAACAGACTGATCAAGAGCAGATCATAATAAAATTAGTCCGAAAGAATTTTGAAAGCATAGTGTTGATTACCAGAAGCCAGCATGGATTTGCCAAGAATAAGTCTCGCCAAATAAGTATATGATCCCAGCAGGGTCACCCAAGGTGTGACGGTCATCTCAATTGTCCACTAAAGCCAGCAGGCACCTCTGTTGGGCACCAGCAACAGAGGAAGATGCCGGAGGCGGAAAATCACTTTAGTGACAATGACAAAGGTATCTATTCATATTGCGTGGGAGAAAGCAGCGGCAAACCACTCCTGTATTTTTACCAAGAAAGCCACATACATAGAGAATATAAGATGATTGGCGGTACAGGGCTGGATGATGGGCCCCTCAGATTGGATGGCACTCAGCACGCTACTCAGGAAGAGCTGAGGATCTTTCCGAGTACCGATGGTGTTTATGACATGAGTGGATTAAAGCCTTTGGGACACCTGGTTGCTGATGCTGCCGTGCAGGAGAAGAAAATCTGAAATTGCAAAGACAGAATTACAAGGGAACATGAGATGTAAGAAAGCTCAACGCAGTGAAAGATGAAATGAAACAAATACAGATCGGCGTCTTAGGCATCAGCAATTGAGATGGGCTGGGACCTGACCTTCAGTCACAAGATCGCACTATTTACTACTCAGGACATGAAAACAAGGAACAGAATTGCTTTCATAGGAAGGATGTAGGAGCAAAACATAGTTGGACTACAAAACCAACATGTGGCAGGAGAATGACTTATCAATTTCTGCCAATCTGATAATCTTTAATTGCTGAGACATTATTCAAACAACCAAAACGATGCCTACATACATGGAGACATCATCAGCTGGTGTACACAGAGATCAGATTCACTCTACATTTGGTACAAGAAGGTGGAAGAGCCAAGTTAGAACAGGAAAGATGTGGCCAGGGGCTGACTCTGGAAGAGATCATGAAGTGATCATGTGCAAGTTTTTATTTTTTTTATTTATTTATTAAATTTTTCAGCCGCCCATCTCCCCCAAATGGGGGAACTCTGGGCAATTCACAACAAACATTAAAAACATAAAATATATAAATACATAAAACTTTAATTAAAAACATTACTAAAAAGGGGAAGGAGAGTCCAAGAAGATGAAAAAACTGAGGCTGAAGGCAGAAGGCCTCTATGGGGCTAGCCATCCCCACGCTTGAGGTATTCCCTCCTCACCCCAGGCCAGGTGGCAGAACCAGGTCTTCAAAGCCTTACGGAAGGCCAGGAGTGAGGGGGCCAATCGCACCTCTGGGAGCAGAATGTTCCAAAAAGTGGGGGCTACCACAGAGAAGGCCCGCCTTCTGGACCCCACCAGTCAAAGTTCTTTCACTGGGGGGGGGATCCGAAGCATGCCCTCTCTGTGTGATCGGGTGGAACGGGTTGAAGTTGTGGGGGCGAGGCAGTCCCCCAGGTAGCCTGGCCCCATCCCATGTAGGGCTTTAAGGGTAATAACCAACACCTTGAATTGGACCCGGAAGCAAACTGGCACCCAATGCAGCTCGTGGAGCAGAAGTGTTAATGGGCCCTCGGGGCTCCAACAATAGTCTGCGCGGCTGCATTCTGGACCAGCTGTAGCCTTGGGATACTCTTCAAGGGTAGCCCCATGTAGATCGCATTGCAGTAGTCTATCTGGGAGATAACAAGGGCGTGAGTGACTGTTCCAAGTCATGCTAAAGCAGAAGAAGAAAGCCAACCAGTTTCCACAATATGAACTTGAGTACCCACCATTTTCAAGGAGAGCATCAAGATTGACTTTGAAGTTCTGGATCTCATTGATGAGGAACCAGAGGAACTATGGAATGAAAGCCACATGAGACAGAAGAAAGCAAACTCGATGTCGGAACAAAATGTGGAACCAGCCAAAAGCAAAAAACTCAGGAACTTAAAGTATTTCAGAGAGCTGTTAGATAAGACATGTAGTAGAATTACGACAAAATCTGTAAACCAATGAAGATGGAAACAGACACAGAAACACAAGAAAAGTCTTCCAAAAGATGTCCGAACTTAGAAGAG